TGTGGGGTTTAGCCTTTTTTTTTTTTAAAAAAAAAAAAAAAAAAAAAAAAAAAGATGGCCAAGATCCCTTCTGCTGCTTGAGGAGCAAGGCTGGTCCATTTCAGTCAGAATGCATGCTAGAGAGAGAAGCTTCCAATAAGATAATGGGAAATGTACAATACAGTATGGTATCACCTATATAAATAGACACATATGCCTACCTGTGTGTGTATGTGTGTGTGGTGTGTGTATTTCTGCAGGTATACACATGTACTTGCAGGCATATACATCTATGTGCACACAGACTGGGTGGGAGATTTCTAGGAGGCTGCATTTCCTCAGGATATCTCTCTCCCTTGACCTTAGATCCTCTGGCCAGGGAAGTTGTCTGAGGACCCCTCAGCATGCCCCAGAGCTGTTGTCCCTGAACTCTGCTGCTCGCAGAAGCTCCACACATCTGGGGAAAATGGCCAAGAGAGGAAGAGATGGCAACAGGGAGATCTAATGGGGCAGAGTCACTCTGTGGCAACTCAGGTGGGAGTAAGAGCTGGAGGGGGGGGTGCAGGGACCGCTGCAATGGCCTCTGGCCACAGACACTGGGACAAAGTCCTTTCCCTGAGTTGAAAGGGGTCAAAGCTCTCTGGGAATTGTTCTGCGGGGTGGACTCTGTACTTATGACTGGAGCCTGGAAAATGCTTTTCTGCCTGGTTGGATTTTCTAGAACTGGAACAGAATGGAGCAGAGGGCAACCCTGGCAAGGCTTAGGGTACCCGCCAGAGTCAGCAAGCTGGGGGAACATGAGAGTACTCAGGATCTGCTAGATTGAGGTGGAATTGGGCAATTTAAATTTAATAAATGCTTTGGAGGCAAGAACTCCCTCCCTTTCTTCCCTGTAAGTCTAGACTCCAAAGAAATTCTAAGAGCCCGGAGCCCAAGAGGACCCCACCAGGCCTGTGGGGCTAGAGAAGCTCCCCTGTGCTCCCTCAGCCGCCCCCATAGCAGGCTGGCACAGGCTGCAGTGCTCTGAGGGTTTGCATCTTCAGAGATACTTATGTAAATAATGTTATTTTTAACAGAGGAGATAAAGGCAGAAAACACCACAGGAAATTGGCTGACAGCAAAGAGCGGAAGGAAGAAGAGGTGCCCCTATACTAAACACCAGACGCTGGAATTGGAGAAAGAATTTCTGTTCAATATGTATTTGACGCGAGAGCGCCGCCTGGAGATTAGCAAGACCATTAACCTTACAGACAGACAAGTCAAAATCTGGTTTCAAAATCGCAGAATGAAACTCAAGAAAATGAACCGAGAGAATCGGATCCGGGAACTGACCTCCAATTTTAATTTCACCTGAGCGCGCGGTTACCCCTCCCCCCTCCCCCTTCCTTTCCCCGCCCCTCCTCCCTTTGTGCCTGGTGATATTTTTTTTCCTCCCTGAGTATAAATGCAACGCGCCTGCAAAAAAGGCAAAGACCTCAGACTCTCCTTCCAAGGGACCTATGGTTTGTGCTGTGAAGATGCTTCCACATAAAGCATGAGAAGTGGGGTGTCGGGGTGTGGGGTGTGGTGTGTGCCCTCATAGATGGGGGTGGGAGTGTGGCTGGTGTGTGTGTCAACCCCTCACTCCCCCACGCACTCACACACAGCATTCTGTTCTCCATGCAAAGTTCAGATCGAATCCACCCGATTGTAGGGGAAAAAAAGAAGAAAAAAATCAACCAGAGAGGGTCTGTAATCGGGCAGAGCACAGACAGAATCGCTCCTTCCTTGCTGCATTTCCTCCTTAGAATAATAGACGTTTTGGAAAGTTCGGCTAGTGTTTGTGTTTGTCGTAGCACCCAGCGCCTCCACCAAACCTCTCCGTGTCTTTACCTCCCAGTTGCTCTGAGAATCTGCTTGAAGTCTTGTATTTGTACTGCTTTCTGCTTTTCTCCCACCCCTCCCAGCATCCTCATATCCCCCCATTCACTAACATCTCAGAAATTCCATCCAGAGGAACAACAACAACAACAACAAAAAAAAAACCTAAAAATAGAACATAGCAAAGCAAAGACAGA